TACGCCTATTGCCACCATAGGTAGTATCACCAAGAAGCTATTGACACAAGTGCACCGAAACTGAATCTAACTGCTGTCAATTAAAGCTATTGGCATCGGTGCACCGTTAACTATTATGAAGGACTGACTTATGATCCATTAATGAATAGGCTAAGTGTTGAGGAGATTTGTAGTTTAATATCAGATTAAACCACGAATCTTCTTCGGGTAATTTCACCATGTTTTACTGGCTTTTTCTTCGGGAACATGACGCAATTCATTTCAGGTTCAACTAGAAATTGAGCTCATAATAAGGAAATACAGAGCAATATTATTCACATCTCTTAACTCTGTCTTTCAATTGCTATGTACTTGCTGTAAAGTTACATGCGGCCTGTGATGTGATGTCAATATGTAGATCGATACTTTTCTATTTCATATCTATACTTCTCTACATATCAAATGAATTCTTACTAGTCACACATTTTCTTTTCATCCGAATAACAAGCAGATATAGAGTCAATGGGCTTAATACGAACGGACTTTTTCTTTTTATGGTCATAATATAACTTTTGGACAGACCTTATCTCGAAACATTTCTTACAAAATCTTTAGTGGAATAACGAACAACTTTTCACAGTAAATTTATATAATTTTTGAGCTGTGACGAGTACTCGCGTGGTTTTTCATTAAAACATACTTCTCGTAAATGCAAGTGCTCCAGTGAACTCTGAACGCATTAAAAGCTTCAGAAAGCTCAGTAGCAAAATTTTATTTCAGTAATCTCGCTCACGCGGACTATGTACATTTTTTCGGGAATATCTCAGTAATCTGTTTGGAATCTTAGAAGAAGTACACCATGATTGTTCAGAGACTCGTCACATCTTAAAAAGGATATAACTTGGAAACTGAGGTCTTGTAGATGAACTTTTTCTATACCTATAAAAGTTTTTAAATCTCGGTTTTCTCGCTGGAAACAATTGGTTTTGCAAGCCTCAAGGGATCGGAAGCACCCAGCTAAATGCTCTACGGAATCTTCGGCAGATTCTGTAGAATAGCATTGTTTCTAGCTAGAAGACTTGTAGATACAGAAAAAGTTCATCTCTAAGACTTCAGCTTTTCAGTACTTATAGCGCTGACTTCTCTGAACATGTTTTGTTACATACATATGCCTTGATTCTGTACTTCGAGTAGCGTACATATATTTTTTCCTGGCTTTCCTTAAAAAGTCCATATATTTGTATAGACGTGTTCTGAACAGAAATACAAAATGCACGTCGTGTTCTTGTTTAGAAAAGGAAAAAATTAGAACGCGAATATACTTGTAATAATCCACAATAAGTGCACGAAAAAGTGATCTTTTTCTTCGAAAAGTTATATGGTTTCACTCCGCAGACTCTTCAGAGTATATCTATACAAAATTTTGAAGGTTTCATTGAACTTTCTAAGCAACGGAAAAAACTTTTTCTTCAACTATATTGCAGACCTCCATGTATTTGTATGGACGTATTCTAAAACACACGTTGTGTTCTCATTTGGACCAGAAAAACCGAAAATTTTTTCCACAATTAGAAATAGTTTCAAAAATCAGAAAACAGTTAACATGAAATTTTTCGTGTTTTAATTCCGGCTAATGACTCTGCCGAAGAAAAAGAAATCAGCATGAAACATTATCTGTTCCGCAATCGTGTGTGTTTTAAGGAAAAAGCGATTGAACAGTTGGGAAGGTTTCCCTGTGACTATGTAAAATTCATTTTCTAATGACGAACAGAGCCTCGGAAATGCTTTCCTGGTTTCTAGATTACTCTGAACTGAGAAGATTAAAGGTCAGATGTGCATTGTTTTAACCAATTTCATAAAACAAAATCGAACGCAGTCCATTTTACCAGAAAGTAATTTTTTGTTTAATGAGAACTGTAACTATAATTTTTCTTCGACACAATAAAAGTTTCAGAAGATATCAATACTATAAATCTAAATAACAAATTTCAAACATTATGAGAGAGCTGTAACGACTGATTTTACAACAGCTGATCACTGTGGCATTAGTAAGCCTCGATTTGCTTTTTACAATAAAGTATACAGAACTCGTGGGTACTTTTACACTTTAAGGACACTACCGTCTGCCATCTTGGAAGATGGCGGAATCCATGTAATACAAATGGTAAACTATAAACCAATCAGAAAACGCTGGAGAGGCTGTTCTGGTTCGCTTTGGTGCAGCGACATCTGTCGAAAGTACAGTGGTTTAGGTCCGCTTAAACCACAGAAAGCTCTTTTAATATCAGTCTTTGATGCTTTGACCCAAATTGAACGGCAGTCTACTACGCCATGTCAGCATAAACTAAAGTGTAATATTTGTAGAATAAATATATTTTCAAACAATTTTCTCTCTGGTTTAAGTCGACATAGACCATTAGGCTATGTCACATAGACCACAGAGAAAGCTCTGTTGAAATAATGGTTGGTCCTTTCACTCTTTGGTTTAAGTCGTCTTAAACCAAATGGTTCATGTCTAGTTGAACCAGCAGTCGCAAACTCACAGTCACACTCACTCCGGCGCTCTCCCACCCCTGGTAGCAGTCGTGGTTTATGTCGACGTAAGCCGTTGCTTACGGGAACAGAGATGGTGCTTGCAGTGAGGGTGGTAGCCTGAGTGTGAGTGCGAAAGTGTCTATGTTAACATAAACCAGCAAAGTCAACTTAGACCCACAGAAATTGCAAATTTCAGAAACTAATTTCAGTTTAATAAAATATAATTTGTTTTCGCCGAATTATGTTGACTTCAATCGATGATGTTAAAAGAAAAAAGTTCACAATACCAGCTTCTTACAATCTAAGTTGCAGTGCACATTTTAGGAAAAGAGAAAAGGTCAAATAAAATGACCAATAAATAGATTGATATTGGAACAACAGCAATCACAACACGACGAGACAACTTCATCTACCATGCTTTTTTCCGCAGTAGGCGTTAATCTATTAACGGTTAATCATTAGGACGAGCGATCAAAAACTATAATTTTTGACTTTCTCCTGTTCAATATGTGTTCGCTGTTTGGTAACTTAGCATTCTCAAACGTCCGGCGGAAAAAAGTTTTTAATCTTTATTAATGTAAAGTTTATTTCTAAAGTAAATAAAATTTAGGTATACAGGTAAAAAGTTGATCTAGAAAATGGTTCCTTATCATACTTTGTTTAACTTTGTGCAATTTCTGCATAAACTCGAAACAATTCGCATGAATCTTTTAACTGTTTGTATGTACCATCCATTTTAGCATTAATCTGTTCTAAAATGGACATTTGACCTAGACCTAATGCTACGGTCCAAAATTCTTTTATTTGTAAATTTCTTGTTGATAAACTATTTAATTCAGTTTCCGGATACTCAGCTTCACCATCACTCATCAATACAATAATGTATTGTAAATTTTTATCTTTCTGTCCGGCTTCTGAAACAATACCAGACTCCACAGCAGCAGTGCTATTTATTTTTATTACATCAATAACTAACTGAAATGCGGGACCAAATGCTGTTGCACTATCGGTCCAAATAATATCTTTCGTATCAATATCTTTCATTTTTTGATTAGAACAAAAAATTTTCGCTTTACTAGTAAATGTTATAATTGTTATACGACCATCATCACCGTTCGTACGTCATGCATTAAATAATTCGTTAATGAAAGACTTTAGATTTATCTGTTTTTTGCAGCACCGTCTTAGTCTTCTTAAATCAGGAGCCTAGTCTTTTAACCAATGTAAGTTTTTTGCGCCAAAGCCTCCGCTTTTGGGGGTTTTTAATAAATCGACACTCGGTCATTTTTTGACCGATGTCGTTAATGAAATTGGTCAACAAATTCTTCCCTCTAGCAAACCCTTTCGGTTGCAACCACAAAGGACCTCAATGACTTATATAGAAAATATTTCAAGACTGAAAAGTACCTGGAAAATCTGACAGTTTCGAAAAAAACACCTCGAAATTTTGACCGATGCCTTGTACAATCACTTGTTTTTTTCTATAGAGAGAAGTAGAGAGGATTAAAATAGTATAAATAGATGTGTTCTATACAGTTTACATTACCGAAACTGAACAGTTAGCATCTCTTCTTCTTCTGCTTTAACAATATTATCAAACATTTATCAAACATTATCTTCCAATATGGATTATCAACAACAACGGCAACAGTCAAACAAACCATCGACCCAAGTGGCACAAAAAGCCCTTGAGGTCTTTGCTTTTGACGCCAGTTGTCTTTCTGTTCCACTTTTACCAGCGGGTGTGGTTTCAGGAGTTTCAGGCGGTGAACCAATTATTTGGTCTGCCACTGAATTTGAGCGAAACACGACAGCCGGAAAATTCCGATTATATTTGGACCAAGGGCGGAAATGGGACATTTGGATGCCAGTTTCGCCCAGCTTCTATTCCGATGGTGTTCCGCCGGATATTCCTGGGCTCGCCGAACAGGCTGCCAGAAATACTGGTGGCGCATATCGGTACAGAGGTAGACAAAGCTGGCACAATCAATATCAGGGTTCTCCTCCAGATGACAGACGATGTGGCGACCGAGTGTTTACCAGCTCGAGTCGCTCACGATTTGAAGGACTGAGACTCCCAGATCGACTGGTCAGCCAGGATTACAGCATTACCAACGGAGGCAATCAACACCACTACACGCACCATCGGCATAGTGGAGAAGCGGGTAACCAGAAAGCCACTGGTAACAAAAGACCGGCATCAGTAACACCACCGGTAGTCAAGATGGCGAAATATTTTTCGTCAGATAAAGCAGATGCGCGTGCAGGAGTCAAACAGGCAACTACCTCTCTATCGAAACCAACCACCACCCAGTCATCGATCACCATCACCAAACTGTCGGCGCCACAGTTGAGTAACTCTACAAAACGTCGTTTACGACGAGAAAGAGCGCAGGTAGCCGTAAACCAACAGCAACAACAGCCAACAAGCCAGGATGACGAACCAATAGTCACCAAAATCGTCGTCGCTTCAATTTCCCAACAAGGGAATGACACAGACGAGGCGTCTTCCGACGATGAGATATCCCCCGACCAACAACCTGAGCTACTTGTCGTAAGGATGACAAGTATGACAGTCCACGACGGCGACGTAAGTGACAATGCCATCACCAAAGAGAGCGGCGAGGCAGAAACAGCCTCAGCCATCAAGCCACCACCACGAAAAACATGCTGTTTTTCTTTCGTGATGTGAGTGTGTTTTTTTGCGTTATGAGCGCAGTCTGCTGCACACTAATAAATTGTTTTATATAGATCTCCAACATCTACTGTTAATCATCATTAGCGATGACTATCACTTATTACTTATTTCCATGACTTATTATTATTTTTAAGACTTAGAACAATCAAAAAACTCATTCGGATGGGGAACAGGATATTGTAGGTGAACTCACTCTAATACTGCCTCTCCCCATTATGCACACACTTCCGATGAAACGGACAAATTTGTACATACGTACGCACCCGTAAGATGAAGAAATCTTTTCAAACTTTTCCTTGAGGTTCCTAGCAAGTACTTTTATCCATTTTCTCAGACTAACTGAGTATACTATACTCAGTTAGTAGAAAAATATTATTTACATTGAACGTAAATAATATTTTTCTTTTATCTTGCATTTTCTTCCACATCTATTTCGTAAAACGGAGCCTGCAAATTTATCTTCACTAGAAACTGACATTTATATAGTCTTGTTCTCTACTCAGATTCATATAGATATTTTCTTATATGAAGGCATTTATCTTCATTTCTTCGCCATTTCCAGTTAGCTTCACTTCCGAGCTTCGAGAAAGAATTCGAAAACGCTCCGTCTTTTCTCTTCACTGCCTTTTTTACTATACAGCTTTTCTTTAAAAACAAATATTAAACTTTAAAGCAACATTAAGCAATCAAATTACTTTTCTAGGTGTTACTAGTTGGGATCAGTGCCAGAAACGGGGCATTATTCCTTCATAGATCTTCGCCTGATTTTGACAAGATTATCTATTCTTCTGTATATCATAAAGAACCATTCACTTACTTGACATATCAAATAATTGTTTTCTTAATTGACACGCCCAGGGAGTGGCAATAGCTCCTTGTTGACACGGTCGGGCGTGTCAATAATCGTTCCGGTTTTTTTGCTATAGAGCTTCTGAGGAACTCGTTCAAAAGCAATGAAAAACCTATCCTATCGACACAAAAGTTATGCCATTAGAAAGTAGACACTTTGAGCTACCGTTTATTCTTGATAATATGAATTTTTTAAGTAAAAGTGAACAAACTGACATATATTTTGTCGTTTCAAAGTTAATGCTGAGTTTTTGAAATTAAAAAAATTGAAAGATTTTAATATTTTTCCAGTAAAAATTAGTTTTCTTAGCCAAATTTCAGAATACTACATATTTCTTCATGGCATCTTATAGAGCAAAAGTTTCTCTACAAAACATGCTATAAAACATTTTTCTGAGACCTCAGCAACGTAGTCAAAAATCGATGACAAATAGTGGCACCGTAAATAAAACATAACCGCCATTTTTTGAAAATGTTTTTGTTTAATGAAAAAACAACTTTTTTAAACAAGTTCAAGAATCCTAATCATAACAAGCGTATTGTTAGCAATGTCTCGTACATATTGGAGCAAATCGCTATCTAGTTTAAGGCCAAAGCTCAGGATTATTAATAATATTTCAATAGCTTTTGAGAAATGTGTAATAAATTTAAATACTCTTTATCGATAAATATTCAAGGATTTTGCAAAGAATTTCATGGGAAATCTTCTTTAGCAAAATAGAGCATTGGAGAGAAAAGGAAAAAAAGTTTACATGTAAGTAGAACATAACATAATTGTTGTAAACATATAAAAAAATAAATCATTTTACTCGACAAAATAGAATTGTCTCAGAATTCATAATAACCTAAGACTGGATAATGATCGGATAAATCATCACAATTTCCATTCCTTGGTTTATCTGCTTTCAATCCAATTATTGTCTGGTAAGCATGAATGGGTTGTTTATGTCCGCGTGAATAAAGTACATAATCCAAGTGTTCATGTCCTGAATCAACTAGAGCCCATCGAGTCCGACCCGGACCCGGGTCCAAAAATCATGGACCCGATGGGTTCTAGGTAGAATATGTTACTTGTCGAACATAAAAAAATGAAAAAAAAGGATATCCTATCTTTGGATCGATTATCAAATTCGAACTAGAATTTTGCATTATAGATCTCAAATGAGTGATTCGTGCCCGAATCACAAAGAATTAATTATTGGGTTCGGATCCGAGAATTGTCTTTGAGCGGGTCCGGGTACAAAAATATTTAACCAACCGGGTCCGGATCCGGTCCGGGTTTGAATAAATTTTTATCATCGGGTCCGGGTCCGGGTCCAAAATTCATGGACCCGATGGGCTCTAGAATCAACATAGCAATTTGTTGTAACATCATATGTATAATTTAATAGTCCAGTATACTGTGGTGCATTAGCATATAACACACTTAACATTTGTGAATATTCATCAGACATGAAACGATCGACATTCATATCACTCGCTATTATCACAGATTCATTAGATGGAATCTAGAAGAAACAATTCTTACAGCAAACCTCATTAAAGTGCAATCACACACCATAATCATGCTCTACAATCTGACATTGTTGGAATGAAAGCATTTTCTCAGGAATATTCAGAGGAGCCTCCTTTGAATATCGGAACCGAGACAATAGCAAAACCAGTGTAAAATCCATAGATTATCCAACAACGTACCTATCTTTAAAAAAATTTGGCAGGCCTGATTTTTTGACAAGAAAAGGGTTTAACTATACCTACCGAAAGATCGTTGATAAATGCTTTTATTTTTCCAAATTGTTTCCTTCGCGTCGTTTGTCTATTAGTCTCAGGTCCTGCTTGTGTATGTGTACCAAATACATGTATTATTGTTCCACTATTAACCAAATCAATCTTTACATACTGCACAGCTTTATCAGACAAACAATCACCGAGTACACAATCAGAACCATACGTTCTATAATCTGTTTTCATGATTGGATATTTTGATGCTATATATACACCACCATTTACTTTAATTAATCCACCAGGTCAAATAGGCTTTGTTCGATATGGATGTGAACTAGCTAGATTATTATCGATTAATTGTCTTGCTTTTCCATCAAATGCTTCTTGAAATATAATAATATCATACTCTCGCACATAACTTGGGATTAGTTTTGCACGTATTAATTGATCATTTAGAAACAGTTGAATTGGTCTCATATAAATATTATATGATAATATGTTAACACCTAGAGGAGACGAGATAAAATGGAAAAGTAGAATTTTATTGCATTTGAGTAATGTTTTCGAATGTTATTGTGCCATACAATGAAAGTAAACAAAAAGTGAAACTAAGAAATGGTCTAACTTGGTGGTCTCTTCCTTGCCTAAATAGTGATTAGATTTATTATATAAAACATAATTCACTATCAATAACCTGTTCGTCACCTGTTATAGACAAGATTTAGAGTTCAAATATTTACGTAGTTCACGAGCAGGAGATTATTTTTCACCTACTTCTGAAGCCTCTCTATGTTCATTTAATACCGTCTGGCTTGTTGCTTATTATAAGGCAAAAAGTTCAATGTAAGTTCCAGAAAATCTGCTATACATAAAAAGCATCTAACTTGGTTACAGAATTCTAGTAGTCTTGGATACGAACCAGTTTGCTATCTGATCTCGTTAGAGGATTATTCACTGTTTCTCAAGTATACGTTCTGGGGACTAAATCATGTCGCAAAGAAATAGTTCAAACTATGTTAGTCGCCCACTACATTTGAATACCTTCTGAAACTGAATCATTGGTGCCTGATGTCATATTTTCATTTATTAAATGAAAACACAAATTAAATTTGTGTCCATATGAAGTTTGTTAGATAGGTTTATTTATGAACGCCATAAGAGAATCGTATCCGTAGATACCTATGAGCGAAGTGGCACGAAAGAACAACTGTTGATGTAGACTTGATTCAGAAAAACATAAAAGAAGAATAATCAATTTCAAAATCACTCTTAAACAACATTTTTTCTTGAAGAAATATGTCTTAGCGAGAAATTCAATTTCAGATATGGATACAAGGGGGAAAAAGCATACTTCTGTACTTCTGGTACTTCTCCGTACTTCTTGATACTTCTTCGTACTTCTTCGTACTTTTTTGTACTTCTCCGTACTTCTGAAGTACGAAGTACGAAATACG